GTTAAAAAAGAACATAAAAGATATTAGCAAAGAATGTGTATCCATTCTTTGCTATGTTTGACAAGGTTTATTGTATATTCCGAGATTACTAGATATTGTATTCTTAAAGTTCAAGTTCGTAAAGTGCCCAGGAGTTATGTATTTTAGTAACATAAGTATTATAATTATTTTAATATATTATAATATATTGAATATATTTTGTAAAATTGGGAAGCACTTTCTTAGCTCTTATTTGGCTGTTGTTTTGGACTATCAAAAAAAAAAATAATAATAGTAATAATGAAAATTAAAAGAGAAAAAAGAATGAAAAAAACAAATTAAATTGAATAAATAAAAATATTAAGTGATAAAACTCAAAATTTTAAAAATCAATTGAAGGATTGGAAACTTCAATTTTTATAAGTTGCCAAGAAAGTGGACCACATACACCATTAGCAATCAGGTATGTAAATTTCCTCAGAACAATAAAGTGGTTGAGAAATTGCTAGTATAAAATAATTATCAGTTCAGATAGAAAACAAAAAAATGGGTAATGTCCAATTGATAAGATATATCCGTAAGCAAGATAAAGTTAATATATTAATTCTTAAGGATTGAGGAGAATTACAAATTGCTTGCTGATGGTTTTTTTTTGTACTTGAGGCTGTTTTTAAAAAAGATAAAAATATATATATAAATACGTTGGTGTCTCTTAAATTTTGTCGCTTGTTTAAGAAAGGAGATCATCTAATAGAGATGATTTCCTGTTGCGCATTGTCATTTTTTGAAAATTTGACTCTCATTGTTTAGAACATTAGAAAGTTGAAACGCTTTGTGTGTGATCAATTTCAAAACCTCCTTGGAACCTTCCTCCCCACTTCCCCAACTAGTAGTGGTGCCTAGCTAATTTTGATCTTTGTATAATATTTGAAAAAATGAATAATAGGAAAAAAGTATTGTTTAGTATGTTATTCCTATATTCATGTTTGATTTTCTTTGAGTAATCCCTTTTTACAACGAAAAAATACTGTCTCTTTGGATTTATAATTTTTATTGTGTCCATTTATTTGCAACGAAGTTTACATTTTTATTATTTTTTTAGCCCTTTTATCTATTTTTATTTATATTTATTATTTTTTTTTTTGTTCCAAGAAAACATTTATGAATAACCAACTTAACCATAACATAAATCTGTGATATTATGGCAATTAGTATGTAATATGATGCAAGTATGTAGATATAGGGTCCTCTCTAAACATTAAAACAATCTTTAAATAATTAAAAAAGAAAAAAATGAGATGATATTTCCAGGGCCACTCCAGGATAATATTTTAATTTCTTTCTTTTTATAAAAATAAAAGCATTTATTTTTATGCTCATGACATGATTTTGTGACTGTTTATAGTTTTACATTGTTTGATTTCATGTTAATTCATGAACTATTATTAATTTAGTTAATGATTATATTAATTATTATTTATATTGTAAATTTGTCAGGCTTATTATTATATTCTTATAATTTTAATTATAAATATATATATATACATATATATTTTGTAAATTCTGTTGTTTATCTACCAAAAGTTAAAAATGGTTACCGGCAATATGTACAGTAATCCTTTGTCATGGAATTATAAGTATATATATGTACATTTAAATGTACCAGTTATATTATTATGATATTAAAGTACCTGGAAAAAGTTATTATTCATTCATACTTTTTTTTTGTAAACCTCAACCTAATTTATTACCATACGTATTATTTATTTTATTTTTTTGCTTATGAAGAATTTAAATGGCATAATATGGTTATCAACTAAAACTGTCCCTGATGATCCATATAATTCATATTTTTTATACTACCACATATTAACTTATATAAGTTTGTATTTTAAACCATAAATGTCAAACAAATTAAAATAATAAATTATTTATTTTCAATACAAAACAGTATAGAATAGTTATCATATTGAAAAATGCTTTAAAAATACTAATAATATGATTAAATAATACATCCCCTTACAAGAATGCTGGTGTACTAAATAAAAAAAACTAAACACTTGATCTTTCAACAAACTACTACTATAGGTATTATATTATATTCTATATTAAGGGAAACATTGATAACAAACTATTTAATGGAAAATATAAATTTTTTACTGGCAAGCTAGAACATAAAAATAGGAAGATAAAAGCAAGAATTACCAGTTGTGAAAATTTTGGCATCCTTTCTAAAAAAGCCACTGATAGTAATTTACCTCTACTGTTTCCAAAAAGACCATTTTCTTATTAAAATATAGGAAGAAAACATATTGTAGTAGAGTAACACTAAATCTTGATTTAAAACAAATCAATAATAATGTTTAGGTAAATTAAAAAATAACAAAAAAATTATGGCTCACTTAAAACTACAAATAATCAACTGACTAATACAACAAGTATAAACAAAATGATTGTAATGAGTACAGTGTTTTAAATTGAATCAAGATATTCCTGTTAGCTTTATAGATGAATAAAAACCATTCAAAATTAATTATGACTGTAATATTAAGAGGAAAGGAACTTTAAGGGAGATGTGTAAAATTAGACATTCATGAATCTGAATCAGTTCATGGTTTATTTATAACTTATTTATTTATTTATTTATTTGCTTCTTATTGTAACTTCTGAAACACATAGATTCTATTAAATCATCCAAAAATGCCAAAGATAAAAGTCAAAATCTATGCAAAGAAATTTGGTATAAAGAAAAGAGTCAAGCAAGGAGGATATCTAAGCCCTCTTCTCTTTATTCCCCTGGAAGTTGAAATCTTGAAAATATGTAAGCAAAGGATGACAGGAGAGTCTGTACTGGATTGGGAAATGTAACTAAAGAGGAAAGTAATGCTTATAAATGCCAATAAAAATCATACAAATAAGACATGAATCTGAGAATGAGCAGATTATTTATGATTGAGTAAAACGTGGGTTAGTAGACTAAACCTACCCAGATACAGATACAGTACACAAAAAATGGGATAATTCAACAATAAATATCTAATAGGATAAAAAAAAAACAAAAACAATATGCACTATCAAATCTGTAACACTTGTGAATAAATCAATGTTGAGAAGAAAACAATTGGTACTAGCTTACATGAATTCCGCATGGGTTACTCATTACTCATGGTACACAACCACTTCCATCACACTTGTTCATGGAATCCTAAAAACAGCCATATGTTGCAGTATTACTTCGGAACAAAGAAAGAAACTAACAACCTATATCAAATGGTGTTTAAGTGATTCTTTAAGTCTTAAGTGTAATTAGACAAACAATAATACTTTTAGAAATAATCAATAATCAATTATTACAATTTATAAAATGGATTAAAATTTGGCAACTTGACAGAAAAGTTATGGTATAAGCATTATAAGAATTTGAGATCCTTTGAAAGAAAATTCTGGACTGGTGTTTCTTTAAAATCAGAAGTATTAATCGAATTTGAGTTTTTTTTTTGGTCCTTCCCTTCCTCGCGGTTAAAGCTATACGGGATTTTCCCTGGCCAGGAAGTGTGGGCGGGGATTTATTACAATTTATAAAATGGATTAAAATTTGACAACTTGACAGAAAAGTTATGGTATAAGCATTATAAGAATTTGAGATCCTTTGAAAGAAAATTCTGGACTGGTGTTTCTTTAAAATCAGAAGTGTTAATCGAATTTGAGTTTTTTTTTTTTTTTTTTTTTTTTTTTATCCTTCCCTTCCTCGCCGTTAAAGCTATACGGGATTATCCCGGACCAGGGAGTGTGGGCGGGGATTTATTACAATTTATAAAATGGATTAAAATTTGGCAACTTGACAGAAAAGTTATGGTATAAGCATTATAAGAATTTGAGATCCTTTGAAAGAAAATTCTGGACTGGTGTTTCTTTAAAATCAGAAGTATCAATCGAATTTGAGTTTTTTTTTTGGTCCTTCCCTTCCTCGCCGTTAAAGCTATACGGGATTTTCCCGGGCCAGGTAGTGTGGGCGGGGATTTATTACAATTTATAAAATGGATTAAAATTTGGCAACTTGACAGAAAAGTTATGATATAAGAATTTGAGATCCTTTGAAAGAAAATTCTGGACTGGTGTTTCTTTAAAATCAGAAGTATTAATCGATTTTGAGTGTTTTTTTTTTTTTGGTCCTTCCCTTCCTCGCCATTAAGGCTATACGGAATTTTCCCGGGCCAGGGAGTGTGGGCGGGGATTGAAAAGACTCCCCCAGCACCGGGACGCGAACTCGTGACTATTTTTATATCTTTGATTCATATGTCAGGTTGCCGGGCAACGACGGTGCAGTGCACACGCTTTAGCCCATTCGGCCACCCCGCCCACCAAGAATTTGAGTGTTATAGAAAGTTTTAAAAAATAGAATCAGAAACAAAAATAGAAAATAATTAAAACCAACTTTTAACTAGATCAGATGTGCTGTAATCCTGAAGTGGAAAGAGTGAAATTTGACAGCTATGATCCACCAAGTATAATTAAAATAATTAACAACGCCAGAAACAGAGCTTTATTATAATTGATATGATTTACATTACAATTTTAGCTTCATCACATGTATCAACTTCTGCTTATGCAAAAGATAAATCCAAAATGCTTAGTATTTGGTTAATCCCCACACCAAGCTATTTCTGGAAAGTACATAGTTAGCATAGCATTTTACCCAGTAGTAACAACAGTTAGGCTCTTAAAATTAAATTCAAATGTCATCTTAATTTTTAGGCACCAATAGCAGACGAAGCTTTCTTAACAACGATAATAAACTATTTTAGAAAAATATTCTTTTTATTATTGGTAGGTATCAACGCCAAATTACAAAATTGAGAAAGTTAAGAAATCCTAATATTTAACGAAACTGTTCATAATTTTAATGGTCATTTTGTTTCTTGAGTGACGTATTTAATTTATAAAATGACCATTAAAAATAATTTTAATGGTCATTTTGTTTCTTGAGTGACGTATTTAATTGCTCTTTGGAGGCTTTGAGCATCGCATCATATCAGATGTTATAACCATGGAGTAGGTTAAACTTTTATTTATAGTTTGGTTTTACTGTTAATTTCAGTCATCATGTCTTTTTCAAATATATTTCTGAGACCCTTTCACACATCTAAGGAATGTTACCATATAATTAAGATGTCTAGGTTGAGGGTTGTGGATAACAGTGAAATTGGAAGGAGGGCAATGGCTGAAGGAAAACCACCGAAATGTATTCATGTCTATAATAAAAAGGGAGTAGGTACTATAGGTAAGCTGTAAACATATTTTATCCCTATAGCAATGTATGAGCGTATGTATCTTTTTTAACAAACTATATAGCCCTTATAATCAGTTGTTTTCTATATATATATTTTTAAATATTATCAGTGTTTCATGTTTTATTTTGTGATATTTGATATATATTTGTATTATTTACGAGTTTAGACTAAGTCCTATAACTATCGTTTAGGATTAGTTTGAAATACTTTAATTTTGAAGAAAAGTCTCTTTTTATATTGAAAGCTGATAAGCCTGTCAGTTATCAATAGTAATATTAAATTAAATTAGTAAGGTTATGGTAAAAACCAGTTATCTTCTCTCCTATTGCAAGGGATGAGTTGCTAATAAAATAATTTCCTCTATAAAAGTAAACAAACTTTCAATTATTTTTTGATGTAAATGTATGATAGCCATCTATGGAATGGCATAGCACCTATCAGAGGTTTGTTTCCCTTCTGCCCTATTCCTTGTATCACCGTTATCATCTACCTCTTAGGTGTCAGAGGTAATGATGTTATTCTTTATTAATATTATTCTTACATTAAAAACCTCAATTAAGTTCATTCATAAGTAACTTACAATACTGTTTCATATAATTTATTTAATTCATATCCTATCTACTGAAGAAAAAATTTGCTCAACTCGGTCTGTTGAAGGATGTTATAATCGATTGGGTGTTTTTAATGTTTTCTTATACCTGTCTGAAATGCTGACAACTAGTGAGTATGCTGTCAGGAAGTTGAATACTAAAATGGCATTTGTAGGAGTGTCAATGAACATTCCTTCTTATTTTGATTTTAGTATTTATATCTAAGTTAAGAGACCCTTCATCTAGTTTCTTTTGAGCTTTGTAGAGGTTTTATCGGGTATGTCAATATCTTTAATAAATGTGTCAGTATATCCATGAAAGTTATCGTGAAATCTTGAGCAGTGTCTCTGTATGTTGCAGTTAAATGTTGCCATGTGAAGGTCTATATGTAATATTGGTGGTATACCATGGAACTTTGATTTTTGACTGTCCCATTTATCTGTAAAATATCAGTCTAAATGGGTTTAAGTTAGTAAATGTAAGATTTTATTTTCCACTTCGATTTTGAACATCTTGAAAGAAGTGAGTGTAATAAGCATTTATATTGTATGAAATAACCATATTATTTTAATAATATTAGTATAATATTTCATAGCCTTTAGAGTTAATAGTTTTCCTTGTGTTGTTGTTATGTGGATCCCATGTCAGTCCAAGATAATGCCCTTTATCTGTATGAGAATCTTGAGCATTTTTGAAATAAATAGGAAACTAGAGCGAAGTTTAATTTTGTTAGAATTAATAAATATACTACAAAAGAAAAAGAAAGCGTGTAGATGCCAAAAGATGCCGATCCTTAATTGAGAAATAAAATTTTCTCTTAATGAAATACTAATTTAATTTTAACTGAATCTGTTTATTTATTTGTAATTTAAAGTTTGTAGTTTCTATAATTAATTGCTCTTTTATATATTACAGGTGATAAAGTGTTAGTTGCAATACTAGGAGAAAAGAAGAAAGGTATTCTTGTTGGTGTTAAAAAGCATCAACCTCCACGAGTACCCAAATTTGACACCAATAATATAGTGCTGATTGATGACACAGGTACTCCTCTGGGGAATAGAATACATGTGCCAATACCTGTTATGCTTAGGACAATACTCAAAGAAAAAACATTTGCCAAAGGAGTTGATTATACAAAAATTCTAGCAATAGCATCACGGTTTGTGTGATGGCTTTAACTTTAATTATTATTGTAAATAGAAATATTCTTTTGTTTTAAAAATAATAAATTTTTTATTTCAATTTTTATTTATATTCTATTTTATACCTATGGATAATCATTCTTGTATAACTCTAATGATGTTCAAGTGTCCTTATTAAAAAAAAAAGAATATTTGATTTATAAAAAAAAACTGAGAACAGAAATTGGGAAATTCTAATCCTAGGCCCAGGCGCAAGATGGCCGGATGTGAGCTGTGGATTTTTGTGTCTCAAGTGACTCCGAACTGAGACTCGCAGGTGAAGTAAGTGAGGGAGGATAAATTAATTAAAGCAGTTAGAAGGAAAAAAATTTTGTATACTTCACATGGTGACAATTTAAAAGTAAAAGTGAAATAGCAGATTTGAGAAATCGATGCCTAAGAAATCAGTCTGAAAACTGGTAAGTTTATATATTAATTATTTATTCATGCACAAAAAAAAAACACTTATTCTCTAGATATTTAGAAGGTGATTTACAGTAAATGAATAAATTTCTTAACATAAATAACAGCTAAATTTTCTTCACTTCTGAGAGAGCTGGACGGATTACAACCTTCAGCAGCTATAGATTTCTAAATGAATTCATGCAATCGTTTTCTGTTACTCAATAATAATTTTAATATTTATCATCAGAATATTCATCTTTAAGGATGAATTATCCCTGCGTCTTTTGTTTATTCAAGTAACTACTTTTTGCTTTTTTTATTGAGTGATGACTTAATAATTCCATCTTCCATATCATTGGAATCAAACTTATCGATAAAAAATCAGTAATACTACTCATTTGAAAATGTTAAATTAAATACAAAAAGGTCCACAGTTAAGAACTGCGGCTCAACTTTCGCTTATACCCACACGACCATTCCTCACAGTTGATTTTATTCAAATTTCTTGTATTTAACCCTACTTCCATTGTGATATCCGTTCACCAAGCTGTGTCTCAACTTACATCCGGCCTAAGGGAATGTACTTCTAAATCTACTTTAATATCTTGGTAGATTGAAAGGGAAAATGACATATATGAATAGTTAAGCTTGGTGCAATTTTCGGGTTTCTTTCACAACTCATTACAGCTTCAGACAATAGATTTCATCTTATGTATCGGTATATGCCAGAGAGTTGAGTTTCATTCAGAGTGTTTTAGGCACCTGTCTACTATACCAAGTTTAAATTTCCGTAGAAATCAATTTACCTACCAATCTGCCAAGATGTTTAAGTAGATATGAAAGAACATTCCCTTAAGGTGGATAGATAGAATGTCCCATTTTCTGTAGGCAGCTTTTTTTTTATTCAAATATTGTTTTATTTTAACAATTAGTTTTTAAAATATTAACAATTTATTTTTATACCATATGATCACATCACATGATATTATATCAAAATTCAATAATCGAGATACTTAAACCGTAATAAAATTTTATTTTCAGTATTGTCAAAACCTCATTACATACCTATTAGTAGATTGATAAAACACTCTTTACACAGTGCTTTGCCAGAATTTCGAGCTCAAATTCTTTTAAAACAAAGGATGTTGCTGAACAAATTAAGATATCAAACTTAAAAAACATTCCAGTCACTTTCCTCATAAAATGGTTATGTACCTTTCATAAAATTGATTAAACATATCATGGGTCAGTGTTTTAAGCACAAATTATTCCAAATCTCTCACAGGATCTCACCGGATATTTTAAGATATACCTAAAATTCATTCCAGACATTATCTCGAAAAATCGTTACATACCTCTTAGCAAATCGATTTAACACATTTTAATCAATCACGGGTCAGTTTTAACTCATATTGTTTCAAAACACTCATAGGATCTCACCTGAATAATTTAAGATATCAAACTTAAAAATTAACCCAGCCGTTCGCTCACAAAAGTGTTGCATAGCTTATAGCGGACGATCCAAATACATAATCCTCGTTCTGCTTAGCTTAGTCGAGTAATAAGAGAGAAAGTCATAATACTTCTAGGCGAAATTAATAGGGTGTATAAAAAAAATGACAGTTTTATCAAATTTTTACATTTGGAAGAAGACAAGCTCAAAATTGTACTGAACTAGACAGAGAAACGAATGGCGGAGGTATAGATGGTCTATTTATTCTTTTATTTAGCAATAAGTAGGATATTCCATGTAAAATTGTACAAATCTTGACGGAAACCGAAAAAAATATAATTATTTATGCTACACACACACACATTATATATATATATATATATATATATATATAATTATTTAAGAATACAATTAAAAATATAATTTATTTTTACTATATTTTTTTGGACTGAGTCCACCCCAACCATTCTTCTCTTCAATACAAATATTTGGTTGAAAAACAGTAATTTTTTTTTATTATTTTCCCTATTATATTGTTTAGATAATTCAGAACAAAACAATAAGTGATATAATAAATTATATTCCAGTCACTTGATGAAGAAAAGAACATCAGAGTTTTATAGATGCTTAATTTTAGTGTAATTACTACCAATTGCAAATGGAGAAAGTAGTGGTTTGGTGTAGGTAAATATACATGTAGTTCTTATAAGTGATTAGGACTAGAATGGAGGTACACAAATTTTATATTTATAAACAGTTAATAACAGAAAGAAAATGCATTGTAAACAATTTATTCACAAAAAGCATTAAATTATTATTTTTTTTTTGTACCTAAAATCTTAAGTTAATTTGTACAATATATTTTATTGAGATACAGCATGTTTTTCTATCTATGAGTAACAGAGAGAATCGTTAAAAATATAAGTGAAGTAATATATTCAACAGTAAATAAATAAACTATTTAGTTATAAAACATAATAAATTATTAAAAACTAAAACTGGCAGTAAACTTATGATTTCATATGATGAAAAGAAATTATATTTCAACAAAAGATGTAGTAATTTTTGGATTTACTTAACATTAAAGAAATTGGTATTAATCCATTTTATAATAAAATTATAAAACTAAAATTGGCCGTATACTTACATTTAAATTCAAATGATGAAGAAAATAAGTTTTATTTAAACAAAAGACAGTTATTTTTGGATTACAATTGACACTACAGCAAATATATATCAAGTTTATAATACGCATTTATATTTATAAATACTTACTATGAATTTGATTTGAGATTAATATTAAGTTGATTTCAGAAAATCAAATTTCTGATTTTTAAGTGATTTGTCTAATTTTAGTACATTAGAACCTCCAAATAGAACTTATAAATAAAAATCTGTACACAAACTTGTTTGTAGTCTGGCATATATATATATATATATATATATATATATATATATATATATATATACCGTTTTGCATATATGTGTATACATTATACTGTAAAGACTTGACAATTTTTTACAAGTTAAAAATTAATATTTATTTTGTAAAAATATAATATATTTCCTAGGTTCTTGAGCTTTTAAATAAAATCATATATTATACAACATAATTTATCAATAAAAAAATAAAATAAAATTTACAATGAAAACATAAAATAATTTTATATTGAGGAAATTTAACAAGGGCTTAAATGGCTAATTTTCAAAATCTTTTCCTCTCAAGTATATTTAGTTATGTTTATTTGAAATAATCAACAATCTCACATTGCTAGAAGTAATAAAAATGAGTACAATAAGTCATGAAAGAATTTTATAATTAACTATAGGAGAAATAAGCATTGGTAAGATAGAAGTGATGACAAGAAGCCTGGCAGATAGGTTACGGACTCACCCAATTTCTACAAGAGTATGTCTTCTATATTATAAACATTACTTATAGCGAATCAAATTAAGTTACTGCTCATAAATGAAGAGACTTCAAATACACAAAAAATCATATGGATAGAGGTCTATGATAAGGAAAGAAGATATAATTACTCAAAAATTGACTTCAACTGAAAAGTAAACAAAATTATTAAAACATCGATTTTTTTTTATTTGATTTGGTTTGTTTGAAATATTCAATTTCTCTCATTTTTGGAAGTAATAAAATAATCATAAATATAAACCACAAAAGAATTGTATGATTAGCTATAGAAGAAAAGAAATGCCCAGAAGTAAGAGTACTATAGTTGTATAATATGCTACTGAAAAGAAAAAGATTTTGGAAGAATAGATATCCAAAAAAACATAGCCATAAGAAGTGATGGACAGATAAAAAAAAACAACAACATAAATTTCATAGTTTAGGTGAGTAGGAAAAACATAATTAATTTCTTCAAATCAATGCTGTATCATCTAGAGTTTTTATATTCTATTCACTATTCAATTAGTTTTTGGTTTGAAATGGTATTTTTTGTTTAGGATGAACAAAGTCAATTCTGGTTAATAATTCAATCACTTATTATTCCTAAGTTTATTAAAATATTCTTTTCATTGCTGTCACAAAAACAGCTTCAGAATGGTAATTCGTTTTTCGTAATAAGAATAGTAATCGGTTGTAATTCAATATTATAGGCTTTGTATTTCCATGTGATACAAATGGCAGCTATTTAATCTAATATAAATTTCATTTAGTCACATAATAAAAAAAAATTACACCGAGTTTTTGAATGTAATTTACTTTGTATCAAGAATTTTAGCAGTTGTAATGTATATGGCTAAGATTCAAGTGATACATTGATAAATTTATTAGCTACATCTTAAAATTACCTAAGCCATATAGATTACAATTAAAAAAATCTTGTGATTGAGTGGGTTAACATCTGCTTATTTTAAAATATGTTTTCAATTCAATCCTATACTTCAGAAATATATATATATCGAATACTTTTGAAATGATCGAATCGAATACACTTTTGAAAAATAAAATGATTTTATTCTTACAACTAACGGACTTGGATTAAAGTTATAAGAGATTGCAGTTAGAGTTAAAACAAAAAAAAAAAACTTTTTTCCTTCATCTTTTGATAATTTATAATTTATCAACAAAACTTCTTCCAAAACAAAACAAAGTGAACAATTTTTTTCTTCTAGTTTTTGTGTCTAGATACAGTTTAGTCCTCTATATGTCGAACATACAGGAATTGAAACTTTTGTCA